AGGCCACATCAGCACCCCTCTGTAAGCATGCTGCAGGGTGTCCAGGTGTGTGGGGAAAAAATGACTTGGTTACTTCAGAATCTGAATGAAACAGGTATGTGCTCCCAGTAACTGAAACAAGCTTCATTGTGAACAATTAGTTACCATAACTGCAAAAGAAAAGGAACAAAAGCCAGGCTTTGTACTCCTTATAGCAGCTCTTCAGTACCTGGGTGACTTCCTGTGCCTTTCTGTTTATTCAGTGTCTCCAAGGCATTAATTTGTGCATCTCGCTCCTTCAGTTCCAAGCTCTGATATTTGAGATGTTTTGTCCGTGTGCACGTTCTCTCTGGTGGTTGTCTCACACCGGAGAATTTTTGCCTTTCTGATAATGTGTGAAGTTCACTTTAGCTCTGCTTTCCTGCTGTCCTGTCCCAAGGGTCTAAAGGGTAGGATGCATTTTTCCCACTCCTCAATTTCCTGTCTGCTGCACAGCCTCTCTGTCTGTCTGTCTGTCTGTCTCCCTATATATATATAGACTCCATGGAAGAGGGGAAGGAGGACAGGATTCAAATGTGAGCATGGGCAATACATCTCAAAGAGCTTCAGTTGCTAGTAAGTAATTTTCTCATTCGAGTAACTGCATGCACGTTCTCACAGGTGGCTATATTGTAAAGCAGTGTCTGTGTATGTGTAGGTGAGTTTTAGAGTCCTAGGCTAGTAGTGACCGGAGGACCACTCTGCTAAGTGCTGCACTTGTCCTAGAAGCTTGCATTGTGGCCCAAAGCTTCATATATATTTGCATGGAGTTCCAGGTAGCCACCCTGCAGATAGCAGTCATGGCACAATTATGCAGATGCTATGGAAGTAGCCTAAGATGTAATGGAATGGGACTTTTTACTCAGGGAGGGTCCACCCTTATGGTCTCATAACATTCTTATATAATCCAAGATCCATTTAGCTAAACTCTGGGATGATGTTTCGAGAGCTTTCAGATACAGACACAAGTAACTGGACAGACTTTCTGAAAGACTTTGTTCTGTGGAAGTAACAAGCTAGAGCCGTCTCCACGTCCATGCAAATGCAGAGAAGCCTCTGTAGAGGAGGAATTAGTCTCCGAGAAGAGAAGCAACAGGCTAATCTGCTGCCCCATGTGAAAATCTGAGGAAACCTTTGATAGGAATTTGGATTGAGTTACTTTATAATGGGGAAAAGTATCACATGGTAGATTCTACATGAAGTCCTTGAATCCTACCCACTAACCTTGCCAATGTAACTGCATCCAGGAAAACCATTTTCCTGGAAAGCTGCAGCAGAGAGCTCCTTAGAATCATAGAAAACCAGGGTTGGAAGGGACTTCAGGAGGTCACCTAGTCCAACCCCCTGCTCAAAGCAGGATCATCCCCAAATAGATCATCCCAGTCGAGGCTTTGTCTACCCAGGTCATTGCTATAGGTTCAAGTGGTGATCTTATCAGGAGTGTGAGGATCAGATTTAAGCGCCACTGCAGGATTGGGCCCTTTACCAGAGGGAGGACTATAGGCAGATTCTTTTATTCCTTAAGAACCTTCCCTCCTCTTGCTGTTAGTTAATCTGGGATCATCATCAGCAATTTAGGATTTCTCACCTATAGAAATAAGAAATCCTGATCCTGGAACATTTTGCCCATGTGAAGGTGATGAATATATGAGGTCCAGTATCATCTTGTGGAGAGCTCACAGGAATGCTGGAGGGGACTCATACAGAAGGCTCCTCAGCCACAGAATGACCTTGAACGTTGACCTCTTGATCTACCTTTTGTGCTTTAGGGAGATCACTTTGCTTACACATTCTGCAGTCATGTTCTGGAGAGCAGGTAAATATAGCACCAACAGGGGGATCTGGTAGTCTAAGCACCATTGCCATAGGCTGACTGACTGACTCTGCATAGGCAGAGATTCGGCACTTCTCTGTCTCTTGGTATAGAACATTGTAAAGTTGTCCATGGTGATCTGGACATGATCCCCATGGATATGGCAGAGAAATGAGATGCAAAGGTTCAGGAGCCCATGTGTCTTCATATTGAAAGGTTTTTGCTATTGTTGCTCGTCACCTCTTGAACAGCAGGTGAAAATCCCTCAGCGCTTCGAAGCAGTCCTTCAGGAAAAATGGGAGTTTCTCAAAGGAGAACATAAATTCAGTCACTTGTGTTGTAATAGTTCCATTAGAGCCACAATGAGTGTCTCTTATACTAGAATTTGGCCTTTAACCCTTAACTTAATTAACTCTTCCCAGCTAATTCTCTTCCTAGCAGGAAACCATTTTACAATATGCATTCTGGGTTCTCTTGAATGATGTGAGCCAGAAGGCACCAACCTCAGGTCACTGGGATGTCAGTCCCATTTTCCCAGTTCTCAGTTCTCATAACTCAAATTGTAACACGTATCTAAGAAATGATCAGCAAACAGTGCTTGTGGGCATACCCAGTGTTCTCCAATTCCATCAACTTCCACTGGCCTAGCAGCCTGGTTTTGACTCCAGACTTTTTGAACCAAGGAGATGATGGCTTTCTTCCCTTGGATTTGGTACTGAACTATGTTGCTTAGAGTGCAAGTATTAAAGAATAGTAACAGATCTATTCACCCAGTAATTTCCAGCACTTGCCTTCCAATACTGTCACAGGTCCTGTCATGCCAGGACATTGGCAACTAGGTCTGGGGGTGCCCTCAGAGTCAGTAGAAGCAGCTGAGGTCTGAGGGGAGCATGCTGAGTCAGAGCAAAGGGTAGCCAGCAAGCCAGGCTCCAGAAAATCCACACAGGGAGCCAAGTCAGAGGTCCAGAGGGTCAGGCAGAGGGGTAAGAAGCTAGCTGGGTCAGGTATCCAGGAAATCAAACCAGAATTGGGTCAGGTATCCAAAGGGTCAGGCCAAACTTCGGGTTCACGGGCAAGCTGGGTCAGGTATCCAGAGTCTGTCAGGAAGTCAGTAATGGCACAAGCCAAGGGTGCAGCATCCTGGGTACAAGGTTGAACCTTGTTGACCAGACATTTCCTTTTCCAGGTCAGGGTTTATATTGGAAGAGGTGAGGGATCAGCTGATGCTGGCTGGCTGGCCACTCCGGTGGCAGGGAGTGGGTGTGTGGCTAGACCCAGCTGGAGGGTTCTGGCCATTTGTATCCACCCCCGTGCTTAGCTGAGAACGTGTCTGACCAGCATGACTGGCTGTGCCAAGCAGGCTGACAGCTCCTACTTGCTCCCATCCTGGTCTGATTTGCTTCCCATCCACTTACAGCTTCCACACTCTAGCCCTCTCTTACTCTTGGGTTTACATCTTCAATTTTGCTGCCCTCTGTGTTTGGAGCAGTTTCCTGATCTGTCTCCCAATTGTTTTCTCTCTCTCTTTCTCTCTCCTTCAAAATCTTTCCTGAGATTCCTTCCTTCTTTAGTCTCCTGTCTTAGGGTATAATTACACATTACAGTTAGCACATGCTAATTCTAAGGAAAGTTAGACTATGTTAAAGGTAGCACATGCTGCGAGCAGTCACACATTAATACCTTCTCTACTGTCCAACAGCTCTGACCTGCTGCTAAGGGGCTGGTGAGCAGGGGCATGACTAGGAGCTGCCAAGTTGGCCCTGTGCCTGCCCGGCTCACTGGCTCTTTAGCTGCAGTATAGGCCAAAGGAGAAGGAGGAAGAGGGTGAAGGGGGTCAGGGAAGCAGAGGTCACCCCATCCCATTTGGATTGCCTCCACGACTGCCCTGCTCAGTGGGCCCCATGGCTACCTGCTCACTCACCAGCCACCTTAGTGACTGCCTGGCAGCTCCCTAAGGAGAAGAGGAGTAGGGGGGAGCAGGTGGGTGAGGAGCTGCTGGGTAGTCACCCAGGTCCAGCAGGGGTAGTGATGTAGGTCTGTTTTGGGCCCATGAGAAGCTTCCAGGCCCCTCCTCCCCACTCACCTCTCCCCACTCACCCACTGCCCTACTGTTCCTAGCTGTCAGTCCAGGACTGTCAAGTTCTCAAGGATAACTAGTCCACGCTGGGAGTGGTGCCTCCTGGGATGCTAGAGAATTACAGATTTGTCATTTTATCTCAGTGGAGCAGCCAGAAGTGAAGGCAACTCAAGCTAGGTAGCAGGTTTCAAAGATAATCCTTGCCCAAAGTGGTATAACTTTACAACACAATTTTTAAGACACCTTAACATGTGGAAGCTTGCATTTTAAGTGCCCTTAATGTAGTCTAATTGTAATGTGCAACTTCATCCTTATACTTTCTCTTAGCTCTCACTTTCCTCCACCATAATGTTTTATTTTTCTGTTTTCTCTTAGATTGTAGCTTATTAGAGCAGGAAGTGGATCTCATTCTGGATTTCAAAAGTATTGTGCAATTTACTGTGCAGTACAGTTGAGTTTCAAACAAATGCAGATATAATAAAGATAATGTAACACAGTTTTGCAGTATGTCATTAAGCAGGGGCTTTGTTTCCCTCCACCGATGCCTGCATTTCAGTAATAAGTGCCTTGGGATCTTTTAAGATGGAAAAGTACTTTTACAGTGTAAATAATTAATTATATTACCATTGGAAAACTAGAGTTGCAGAGTACATTGTGAAATGCCAGTTTTATTTGTGATTTGGCAATTTCCTGTGTGCAGCAACAACAAATCAAATAAATTAATCTGATCTCTTTGTTGAATCTCTCTCTATCTGCCTTAAGTACTTCTAGCAGCACAGTAGGTGTGCCAGGTGGGCTCTTTTATGCACGTAGCTTTTATATGTTAAATACAAGTTTTACTTGGGTTCTTTTTTGGCACCCACTCACCAATACCAAACACATAATAGGGCTTATTATTTTGATTCTATATGAAAGTGCTTGGTTTAAACACTGAACTTGATTCCATAAATATATGAAATTCTGGAGTGTAGTGTGTCATGCTGTGAAGATCATTTTTATAGTCAAGTAAGAAATATTAGTGGGAAATAAGTGAAGTTCAAGCTTTCTTTTTTCTCTCTCTCTCTCCCGCTATTTAACATTGCTTTATTTCAGGGATTCTTAACAGCTATGAGGCAGGAGACAACTCGAGCTAACTTAGCAAAAGGCTGGGCACTTGACAGTGTTATTTTACACAATGATGTGACAAAAATGATGAAAGAAGATGTTACTAGCCCTCCTCCTGCTGATATTGGTGGTGTGTATATCTGCGGACTTTTCCTGGATGGAGCTGGTTGGGATCGCAGGAATAGTAAACTAATTGAATCTGCACCAAAGGTAACCACCACATTGTCATCAAAGAGAGCTTGACATAGTTATGGCATATCCAACTAAAACTTGGCATGCAGGGCATCCGCTGGGAATATCAAGAGTGAACTTTTGAGGTAGTGATTTCACAAAATATTTTAGCTGGAAAAAATAGGGTGGGATATGAGTGACTGGTTAATAACTCTGTGCCCTGCAACATGGAAGTCAGACTTGGAAGCAATCCTTACTCCAATATGGTAGAGCTTGGGCAAATCACAAAAGGGGATAAGACAAAATCACAAAAGGGGATACGAGCTTGCACTGCTCATCTGTAAATCCAAGAGTTGCTTTGGCCTCTGCCTGGCCAGCACAGTCAGTGAAAGGCAGGACAGTCATTAGAGAGAAACAAAGGAGCTCCAATATGAAGAGGAGGTTTTCCCTGTTACGTGGGATGGGCTTAATTTGAGCACTCCTTCTTTAGAGGAACCAGACAAATGTTCTTGTTCTAATGCAATAGTGAACCCAAACCCATATTACTATAAGTTCGTCTTAACATTTTGGCTAGGTAAGGCTGGTTTGATAGGAGCCATTACAGACCTGCCCACTTGGGTGATTCCAGATCCCTGAGATTTTTTACAAAAATAGATGGTCATATTTCACTTCAGTAAATTACGTTCTGCTGATCTAAAAACCACCGGCTCTACGGTGCCAGTAAGGTTCTGCACTCCTTGCTCAAACTGTTCTGAAGTATCACTGTATTCTGTAAAACTTTTCCAAAGTTTCAGTTGTAATAACACATGGTTGAGATAATTTATGCCTATATTAGCCATGGATCCTGCTGGCTGGTGCTGTTGCTTCTGCCAAGTGTAACTCCCTCTGTTTATGGTAAGAATTATTTCCCACAAGCGTGCCTTCCTTGGCGTGTTGGAGCACACCTATATTCATAGCGGGTGCATCTACATGAGATGCTATTGCACAGTCATTACTGCGCATTTGTTTAGTACTTGTATTAGCAAGTACTAAATAAATGTGCAGTACCCAGAGTTACTGCACAGTAGCACCAGCGAACATGTCTCAGGCAATGCTACTGCATAGTATCCTAACAATACTGTGCAGTAGCATTTTAACACTGTCCATGCTGTGACATGCTACTGCGCAGTCAGTGTCTCATGTAGACGCTCCCAGCATATGGCAAATCCTGCATGTAACTGTGATAAAGTTGACTGTTGGCGTTGAGAGTTATTAGCTGCAACCAAGTATCATTTATAGTGCTGGGTGAATCTCAGACAGTGAAGGGATCAGGCTCAGATAAACACCCAACGGGTACCTCTTTGTTCTTTGAAGGTACACAATCTCCAAAACACATGAGGAAAAGCTCTATTGTTGCTACTGAATAAGGAGAAGCTGGGGGAGAGGGGAGGGAAGGAGGAGAGAAGCTAGTAGGGGAAAAGAAGAAGCAAGGCTTCTCTCCTGCACTCCTACCTGCCTTCCCACTCTCACCTTCTCCTTCTCACTTGCTTGCACAGAGCTAGGCCTTCACTCCACAGCCTGCCCTGGGCTTTCACTGGCTTGAAGATACTTTGGAATCATACAGAGATAAGCAGGAGCATTGGATGTCAACTCTGTGCTCTGCCTGCTTGGAGACTGGCATATGTACTGCCAAGAGGGGGCAGCTGCCCAGGAGCACTCACATAAGCTAAAAAGCAAGAGAAACAAGCAACAACATGGGAGAGATGGTGCTCTGTGTCCCAGGGCAGCCACTTGTATGATCTTATCTGCAGCCAAAGATGGATCCAGAAGGGGTACAGTGGTGTGGATGCACCCCACTTTTGGATTGGGCTGCACCACAGCAGCCTCCTAGGACTATTTTAAACCCCTAAAGGGGGTTAAAATCCTCCCTCCCCTCCTCTTCCCCCATCCCTCACCTGCTGCTTTTGCATTCCCTGATGTCCCAAGAATGTGGGATGTACCAGATGTACCAGAGCTGTTCCTGTCCACCCCAGCCAGGCTGCATGTGAGCTGGGCTCAGCTGAGCAGACGCATCCCCTTGCCTGTGCCTGCCCCAGGGGACAGGGTAGGGAGGGGGTAACTACTTTCCCACCCTGCTGTTGCTGTTGTTCCTGCCCCAGATGAGCTCAGCCCTGGTGCAGCCCGGCTGGGGCAAGCAGGAACAGCTTTGGTGCTCTCCCCCCCCCCCACACACACACACACTCTGCCCTCAGAACAGCAGGGAAAGCAACAGTGGCAGGCAGGGGAGTGGGAAAGGAAATGGGAGAGGGGATTGTCTCATGCTTTAGGGACTTTAAAAAGTCCCTGGAGGCTGCCTGTATTGGTGGGAGTGGAGGAGGCTGGGAGCTAGGGGTGCAGCCACCCCTGTAGTGTGTGTTGCTGCTCCTGCACCCCCTTTAGAGAGAACTTGGATATGCCCCTGTCTGCAGCCAACATTAATTTTGTCTTTGGTGGGTTCCAGAGGCTGTCCCATATCTCTCTAATTCTGAGTGCTCTGTCTTATTGTTTTCTTTAGGTACTATTCACAAGTCTTCCAGTGGTCCATGTGTATGCTATCAGCACTACAGTGCCACCAGATCCAAAGAAACTACAAGGAAACATGTACTCCTGTCCTGTGTACAAAAAGCCTCAACGAACAGATCTAACATACATTTTCTCCTTATATCTGAAAACAGTGCAAACCCCTGATCACTGGACAATGAGAGGTGTTGCACTACTTTGTGATTCAAAATAGTGCTTATCACAGCTATACAGTTAAATAGGAAGACCGGGCTACTGGCTTTGGGGATTTGTTGCATGTAGCATGAAGTACTAGTTAACTACACGCAGATGCATAAGCGTTTGCAAATGAGATCTGTAGAGAGAGCTATACCTGCATATAGACTTGCTTAACTTTTTTTCCCAGAAGCATCTTTAACTTGGAAACATCAGCCAGGAAACTTCACATCTCTCAGATTGAAAACATTTATAGGTGAAAAGTCTAGATACCGTGCAGTTGGTCCAATAAAAGGTATCGCCCACAAGAATAATAGTCACTTTGTATTCCCATTTGCTGCATAAATTAGCTCATTCTAGTACATGCTTCATTCCACATTCATAATATATGCATATTAAAAAAGCCCTCTTGCTTGTAATTACTGCTCTACGTAGATTTTATAGTGATTCTTTTGTGATTCTTTTCATCTAGCTCCTCTTCATTACACACACATTTTTCATTCAAAATGTGTAATTACAAATCCCTGTTTCAATTCCAAACAGATCTGCTGTGGTGTTACTCAAGATGATGTAGAATAAGTTTATATACACAAAAATGCATGCATATACACATCTAATCTTTAGGCATTCTTACTTTTATTGTGCTAAGAAATATATATTGTGCTAGGAAATATTTATTGTGCTAGACAGATGTATTGTGCTAGGAAATATACATTTACACACCCAATCTGAACATTACCTCCTTTGAGCATAAGGTCATAGAGGTTGTGTATAAATGCATGTAACATTTTGTGCAGGTTAGGAAATGCTGACCTATACGCACAGTAAGGAAAATGCACACACATCCAATGAATAGCAGAAAGATTTGCAGTACTGTCCCCCCCCCACACACACACACTCAAGAATGCAAGAGACAGAAACCTTCAGGAGGTTGCAGGGAGTGCCCCTGGGATTGGAGCGTGAGGAACAGGAAAGGGTGGGCAGTACTTATTTTTTGGTGGCAGCCTTGAAAGCAGCAGAGCCAACATTGATGTGGCCTTCATAGCTGCTGATTCTGTGTCCTCTCAAACCTTGCACTCATCAGCTTCCTCAGAGCTGCTGTGCTTTGCATCAGTGTTACTGATGGAAGTGAAAGGAACATGAGATGGCATAGACACAGCTCCACCTAAAATGGCTGCAGTTTCTATCTGTGTGTATAAACCTCTAATGTAACCAAAGGCGGTTGCATTTGCCCTTTAAGTAGTCAGGTTGGGGGGGGGGGGTTCAAACCCAATATAAAGCTACTGGGAGGAAAAGTGTTGTTTGGCTTTTTAGTCCAGACAATTTCAAAGTAACAGCTGTTACTTTGAAAGAGGGAAGAAGAGTCTGTCGTTCATGCCTTTCTAACAACTTTTCTTTTTCTTCCCACAAATGCCTCCAGTTTTTCTTTCTATTTAAACAGGGATCCAGCAAACTGGTTCAGAAACAAGATTCAGTTTCTCATGTGGTCAGATTTATTCTGTACTTAGACACAGCAGGGCTCTTACTTCCAGGAGGAATTACATTTGTGCACATGCCAACAATTAGCTGAGAGTGCCAGATTTTTTGTTCTTGGAAAACAGAATGGAGAACAGGAACTTGAGGGTCACATTCATTCTCTGAGCTGCGTGCAAAACGCTCATCACACAGTCTGAGCCACTGACGCCAAATGAGCACACATGCCAGAAGGCTTTCTCCGCTTCCTCCCTGTAGAGCAGCTACTTACATCTCCTGACTTCAGTGAGAGCTAGAGATTTGAAAGAGAGTTCAGAACATCTAAACTTCAAAGCAGACACTATTTGGAATTGAATGTTTCACTGTATGGAAACAGAGGCTCTAATAACTTTTTTTTTCCCTTGACATGGGAAGTCAAATTAACCTTGATAGCCTAATAAGCAGCAGAAGCAAACAAAGAAACTTTCATAATACATGGCTGAAATGAAGGGTATCATTTAAGCCTGTAAGCAAATCATTTTCTAATCAGTCTTTAGATGTGATGATGTACAAATTTTATTTTAAAATAGTCTTGATAGAATTTACATGTGATGTTTTAATAAAATCCCCATGCCAATTGTCAGCCCTTTTCTTTGTCAAGTGAAAATAAAATTAGAAAAGCTACCGACTGTTCCATTGCAGCACTTAGTTTCCAGCAAGCAACCATGGAAATCATTTGTATATTGAAGTAATGTGTGTCATTTGATAGCTTGTAATATGTATAAAAGAAACAGAATGAGTTTCTACAGGGCTTTTTATTTCAGTAACCAATCACTCTTTACCAATCTAAGAAAAATCTCAAACCATGCATAACAGTACACTGACCAAATAACATAAACAGTCAACCTGATTCTCCATGCAATCTATGATATTTATAGTGTGATAAAGAGCAAGAAAAATATTACACAACTCCATGAGCTTCAAGGAGTTTCTTTTGTAACAGCAAGAACTACTTGAAGCTTTTTATTTTTTATAGCAATTAGGGTAAGGTGTATAATTATATTTTAAGATAATTTCTTTCTCCCTTGCAGTCCTCCTGCTTTGCCTCCCAATGCAATTAAGTCAGTTGTCTCAAACTGGCAATGTTAATCTGATTGGAAGTGTTTGAGATGTCATTTACACAGTACATTATTAACCCTGTATGACTAGTGTTTCATAGTTTCTGTTATAGTTAATCCTTCACTCAGTCTAGGTACTAAAGACTAAATGAAACAACTGCCAGGCAAAATATTGGAAATCAAACTGGCTCTGTTTTAGTGACAGCTTTAAGAGTTAAGGCAATGTCCCCTAGATAACTGAGCTGTTGTTTGCTGTCAAAATGGGACCTTGGACATGAGGTACATGCTTACAGCTGTTGTCAGTACTGTATATGCATCACAATTGTTAATATCTAATTTTGTAAATTTGATTTTACATAAATGCTGAGGAGACAAGTCAATTTAAGCATGAATGGGCTGATTATTCAGCAAGGGCAGTGGTGTTACACACACATCTTATTTCAGGGCATAGATTCATTCTTGCTTCCTCAGTGCACCAGACACATGACATTTCATGTTTGGAAATGGTGCCTGTCTCATAATCCCTTTGGCTATGACTGGTCAATAGTGATGAGAAAGAAATAGAGCACTAGGATATGGATTGACTTGTGTTACACTAGTTTTTTGCAGAATTGATTTTAATTGCTGAGGCTCAGCAAACTGCAGGAAGAGGAAAACAAAATATTAATTTTGCCTCAGCAAGGACCTTAAAAACTGGTTTACTCCTCACAAATCTTAAACTGGTTTTAAAAGGATATGAATGGAGAAGAGGCATAAATATAAAATGGTTCAGGCCCTGAGAAGGTGAACAAAACCTGCTTTTTTTTCAAAATCCATTTTAGTTCCTCCATGCTTGGTTTTTCCAGCTATGACTCAGTATCTGCACATTTCATCGTGTTTTGCTTATACCATTGCCTTCCTCGAACTGCACTATACACCCTGTATTAAACTTTGCATAATACAGATAGTCTATTTGAATTCTCTCCATCCTTTTGATATTTCCATGTTCAGTTTGCCCCATCATTTTTTAACCTCCTATTACTGCAGAAAGTTCATCTCTTGGCTTCCTCAATCACTTTCCCCTCTTCACTCCCAGAATTCTGCAAATCCTGTAGTCACTTCTGAGTCGTCTTTTTGCCGCTGAGGAAGCTGGGGTTGGTCTCAACCTCACAGTCCTCACAAGCCTAGCATCTCTGCTGCCTTTTTGTTTTACCTCCCTTGAAATGAAGAATTTCTGTCTGCTTTTTGAACTGGGCCCCGAAAAGAGAAGCGCACAGCAGTAGCAAGTCATGTAGTCTCTTCGCTAACAGAAAATTACAGTTTGGTTACGACGTGCTGTTCAGCTAGAGGAGTTTCCCTGAAAGAGCTGGAGATGACATGGTCTGCATAAGATTGAAGATAGAAAAAGGCTGTTGTGTAAATTATAATTTGCTTTTAAAAATATAAGGGGGTTTTCTCCCTGTGATGCACAGGGGTAACTGGGCAGCACTGGTGTACTATGTACAGCTCTGCCCTGTCCGTTGTTGGACCTGGAGTCATTGCAGGGTGCAGGCAGATGGTGGGGAGTTGGGAAGCTGAGTGCCCCCTCTGCCCCCCGGCTCCATTCTGGCATAGTCTCCAAGCCCCTGTCTTGGGCAGCACCTAGGGCCCGTCTGCTCACCCCATTTCCTCACCCATTGTTACACTACTGCAGAGGCGTACACGTGTAACTCCCTTTCGCATCAATAGGAGTTACACATACATATCAGTGAGGGAGAGGAGAAACTCTTAATTCTATTTATATGACTTAATGATAAGTATTTTAATATATTGGCTAATGCATGTATAAATGATAGAGCACCATTGATACATTGTTCTTACCTAACAACAAAATATCACACATTATGCTTAAAAGCCCTAATGAACAGGTACCCCAACTTCTCAGTTACAATGGCAGTAATATAGTAGACGTTACTTGACCATTTATACCGATTGCTTTAAGTCCAGCAGAGGAACATCATCTGCCCCTTCTTCTTTTGTCTCCTGTTTAAGAACTGTTGTTTCAGGGGCGACCACACCTTTTTCTGCTGGCTGGGACTCACGTTTTGTTCCACTGCCTTTGTCTTTCTTTACTTTAGTAATCACTTCCGTGTAGGAGATCTCTTCTGTGACGGGCTCTGCTGCCCCACTCTCAGCAGGTGCATGTCCCCCAATTGCCTGGGCTTCTTCCTGACCTTCAGCTACTGTTCGTTCTTTGTTTTTCTTATTGATCTTGAAGGTCTCCTTAGTTGGAGCTGCTTGTGAAATTGTTTTCTTGAATCTTAGCCCAGATTGTTTTAGCTTCTCTCCTGACTGCCGAATTCTCTCTCTCCTCTCTGGCGTCACTATTCTGCTTTGGAGCCTGTTCACCTTCTTGCCAAAATTTTGTCTGGTTTTCTGCATATTTTCCCTTGAAAATGCCTTTTTGATATTATCTATGCCCTTCATGCCTGATTTTTTGAACCGGGATGCTCTGCTTTCTTCTATGTAATATTCTTCATCAGAAGATAGATCATCAAGTGCAAAGATATCATCATCTAGATTTTCACTTCTTGTCCTCTCTTTGATAACAGAGAGAGAGGAAGGACATTCTGTCTCCTCCTGTGAATTAAAACAGAGAGTCAACTTTGTGCTACAGAGTTTTAAAAGAGCTGGTCATTTAACTATGCTATTTCTTAGCTTGTTATTGTTAAGTATTGCTAATTGAATTCAAATACTGCAGCAGAAAGATGCTATACACTCAGAACCTATCACCATCATTTGTATTCTATATAGAACTGGAAAAATCAATTATGCAGCCTCTACTAAGCTCTGTCAACACCACAGTTGGTTAGAGAGCTTTCTTAAAAGTGGTAGTGTGTTCTAAAAAGGGGCTGACATTTGAAAATTATCAAGACTGTGTCCTGTGCTTAGTGTGCTTAAATGGATAGCTGATCATATGGCCTCAGTTTACAATTATAAAGATATTTTCTAGCTACCAGTCCTCCTATTCTGAGGTTGGAGACTGCCCACTGCATTCTTTCTGCTGCACCCTGTGCTGCACCCTGACCACCAGTAAAAAGCATCTTGCATGACAAATTAGCCCTTCATTTCTGTACCACCCCCAATATCAGCAAACTAATGACCAGTGGGTCTTCTAGCACGACCTTACTTACAGTGGTTTGCTCTACTGTAATTAGCTGGACCTAAGCAAACAATACTGTGGATGCACATGAAAGAACAGGAGTCAACATACATTCTCTTTACTGTGTTGGGTCTGCAGGGCCAACAGTAGTAAAAAAAAAAAAAATCACTAAAATGATCGATAGATTCAGTAGGCCCCCGGAGTAGGTCTGCTGCGTAAGAAGCCATTTCTATAATCTCTTTTCAAAGTCATATTTTCACCATTCCACTCTGCAGCAGCAGCAGACAGTCAAAGCTTGGAAATGCCTGAATGGCACTTTTAGTACCATTGTGTTACTATAATAATCAACCAGTAAGCAGACACATCATGTATTTGTGAGTCCCTACAGTATGCCTTTGATGGAGGTTATTGACTACTGCATCAATCTCTTTGATAACCACTATGTCCCGTGTCATAAGTATTGTGATTTAATATTTTATGTGTCATCACACATACTAAATAGCAGGACTATATGATAAAATGGATTTGCTTTACACCTTTGTCCTTCTTGACTGCATTCAGTCCGATAATCCATCTCAGTGA